TATCAATATTGGGGATAACTTTTAAGAATCAGTAAAAGATGAGTTAGTGACCGAAGGAAACGACTATAAGAGTAGTTTAGAGGGAAAAATGACTGGTCGCAACGTGCTAACCTGAGCATGGCCGGTTCGACAGGTTCGTAACCTTCTTTTTCCGGTCTGGTTATTCCCCTTTTTATTATCTAATTATACGCATGCAGGCATTCATAGATGATGTAGAAGAACAATTTTGTTTGGTTTGGTTTTTAGTTTCATTTCCTGTGTCCTTCGCTTCCTTTACTCATGTCTCCCTCCTTTTCCATTTTCCTCTCCCCTTTCTCTCATTTCCCCTCCTTCCTTCTAAGGTCCTTGGCCGCCCGGTATTCGTGTCACGTGATGTACCGGACAAAAATTAGGGCGTGTGAAAGATGATTTCGCTGTTAAGACTAATTACCGGTTATCATCAACGACCCCGTTCTGATGTTGGGGTTTGGGGAATTTGCAGGATTGTTGTTTCATGAATGTTTCAGAGTCGCAGCGCGCGAGTTGAAGTATGTTCCATTACTGTTTTTTTCTCTCTCTCTTCTTTCTCTCTCTCTCTCTCTCTCTCCTCTCTTTCTTTATCTTTTCTATCTATCTCTCTTTTTCTTTTCCAAGTGCGTTATAGTCTGTCACGATTTCATGTTGTCCTTGCGTGAAACGGCAGCAACTGTCAATAATATAACACGAACAAAAGCTTTCGTAAGTCACGCTTTGTTCCCTCCCTCTCTTCCACTCTTGAATTCCTTTCTCTCTTCTCTCTCTCCGTTTCCATTCTTCTTCTTTCCCCTTTTCCCTACTCTATTTTTTTACTATTCCCTCTGCCAACCGCCACCGCTGTGTCTCGCCCTCGTCCTTGTCCAGGACTTCCTTACGTTTCTCGCTCATTCTCTCCCGCTAACCTCGATATTATATTGTCCTTTTTATGGGCGTGGTGCGACTAGGGTGGGTATTGAGCAAAGGCTCGAGTGCGAGGAGCTGGACGAAAATTAGTATCCTTTGATGAGTCACGGGTGAGAGACGCAACCCACGCTTGCGCTCATGGCCCGTTAAGGTCACTCAAGGATCAGCGCACGTGCCACTTTCACCCTTAATGATCTTTATGCCTATGTTTGGGCCGGGTTTCTGTTTTTCGAGTTAATTTACCAGTCTTTACTCATATTTTAGTAATAACTTGAATGTGTTATTTGATTTTTTAAAATTATTTTCTGCGTAACACTAGTTTTGAAGTAGAAGTGTTGCGAAGAACAGAAAACCGATTAATTTCCCCTTTTTATCGACTGTTACTACTAGAACGTAGAGATTAATATGTTCCTGGTAACGGGTGCTTGACGGAGTATCAGTTCTAGTTCTAGGGTTTTAAGAAAAATCTGCGAGTCAGAAATATAAAGGATGCTTGATTTGGAGTTTTGGCTGCGTGCTGCGGAGAGGGGAAGGGGGGGGAAGCTCGTGAGGACGGTCAAGGAGTGCGTTCAGAGGGACCAGGTCCCATACTTCTCGTAAGCAGAACTAGTTTTGAAAGGAGATTCAGCGACGAATTGACCGTAATATACGATCGGATTAAATGCCGCGATCCAGCCCTTGGATAGCGCCGAGAAATTTCATTACCTTAGATGTATCCTAAAGTCAGTCGAGATCATCATAGTCAGAAAAAGTCAATTGCCGTTGGAGCAGGAGCTCAATCCAGGTGATCTTGGCCACCGACGATGCTGAGGGCTTGACTGACGGGCGTAGGGGGTGGGCGGAGGGCGCCATCACATGTATTTGACGGGATAGGTTGCCGTGACGAACAGAATTTCTTTGCAGTAACAAAATGTCTTAATTTTACTTCTATCTGGGGAAGGATCCACCTGTCACACCACCTCGGTGCTGTGGCGAAAAAGAAATGGACAATGTTTTCAGTGTCCGCAAACATACTCTTGCTGGGTCGTCCTATATTTTTGTTAGTATTGCTGAAACTGCATTCATTGCAGTGCTGCTTTAATTATATATATATGTATTTTTTGTCATTTTCCTATATTGCATACTATAATTATACCCCTACTTTAGCATAGGTTTACATAGTTCTCAGGTTAATACTGAAAGTATTACTATGGTCTTCATTAATTGATTATTATATATTTGAATTTTCTTGTCAGTCTTCAAAATAAAATATTGCGCTCCAGAAACAGTGATACATCGTTGTGTTTATTAATGCACACTCATATTAGTTTCTTAAAACATTTCAGATCATGGTCAAGGCCGTTGGGATCGACTTGGGAACAACGTACTCCTGCGTCGGAGTCTTCCAGCATGGCAAGGTGGAGATCATCGCCAACGACCAGGGCAACCGCACAACGCCCTCATACGTCGCCTTCACGGACACCGAGCGGCTCATTGGAGATGCTGCCAAGAATCAGGTCGCAATGAATCCCAACAACACTGTGTTCGATGCCAAACGGTTGATTGGGAGGAAATTCGAAGACTCGTGCGTTCAGGGGGACTTGAAACACTGGCCCTTCCACGTGATCAGCGACGGAGGCAAACCCAAGATCGCGGTCGAGTACAAGGGGGAGAAGAAGACCTTCTTCCCAGAGGAAATTTCTTCGATGGTTCTCATCAAGATGAAGGAAACCGCAGAAGCCTACCTGGGCGGAATCGTCAAAGATGCTGTCATTACCGTCCCTGCCTATTTTAATGACTCGCAGAGACAGGCAACTAAGGATGCTGGTACCATTGCCGGCCTCAATGTCTTGCGTATCATCAATGAGCCAACAGCAGCCGCCATTGCGTATGGCCTGGACAAGAAAGTGGGAGGTGAACGAAATGTCCTCATCTTCGATCTGGGAGGTGGTACGTTCGATGTCTCGATCCTTACCATTGAAGATGGCATCTTCGAAGTGAAATCAACAGCTGGCGACACTCACCTGGGAGGCGAAGACTTCGACAACAGACTTGTCAATCATTTCATGAATGAATTCAAGCGAAAGTTCAAAAAGGACTTCATCGAAAACAAGCGTGCCGTTCGCCGCCTTCGCACAGCTTGTGAACGAGCGAAGAGGACACTTTCTTCATCTACACAGGCCAGCATTGAGATCGATTCCCTGTATGATGGCGTGGATTTCTATACCTCTGTCACTCGTGCCCGGTTTGAGGAACTGTGCGCCGACCTCTTCCGTGGAACCCTTGAACCCGTGGAAAAGTCCCTCCGTGACGCCAAGATGGACAAGGCTCAGATCCATGAAATCGTTTTGGTTGGTGGATCTACAAGGATACCAAAGATCCAGAAACTCCTGCAAGACTTCTTCAACGGAAAGGAGTTGAATAAGTCCATCAACCCAGACGAGGCCGTTGCTTATGGAGCTGCTGTCCAGGCAGCAATCTTGGTAGGAGACAAGTCTGAGGCTGTGCAGGACTTGCTGCTTTTGGACGTAACGCCCCTCTCATTGGGCATTGAAACAGCAGGTGGCGTGATGACCGCTCTCATCAAGCGCAACACAACCATTCCCACGAAGCAGACCCAGACCTTCACAACCTATTCAGATAACCAGCCAGGTGTACTCATCCAAGTGTACGAGGGCGAGCGAGCCATGACCAAGGACAACAATCTCCTGGGGAAATTCGAGCTCGCCGGCATTCCTCCAGCTCCGCGAGGCGTGCCGCAGATCGAAGTCACATTTGACATTGATGCCAACGGCATTCTAAACGTCTCTGCCATTGACAAGTCGACTGGCAAAGAAAATAAAATCACCATAACCAATGACAAGGGTCGCCTCTCCAAGGAAGAGATCGAACGCATGGTTCATGACGCTGAGAAGTACAAGGAGGACGACGAAAAGCAACGGGAACGCATTTCTGCCAAGAATAGCCTCGAGTCCTATTGCTTCAACATGAAGTCAACAGTGGAGGATGAGAAGTTCAAGGATAAGGTCTCCGAGGAAGACCGCAACAAAATCCTTGAAGCTTGCAATGAAAGTATCAAGTGGCTTGATGCCAATCAGCTTGGGGAGAAGGACGAGTATGAACACAAACAGAAGGAGGTTGAGGGTATCTGCAACCCTATCATCTCGAAGATGTACGCGGCTGCAGGAGGAGCCCCAGGCGGCATGCCAGGCGGTGCCCCAAGCGGAGGCGCATCTGCTGGCGGCCCAACCATTGAGGAGGTCGATTAACTTGATTCACTTCCAATAGAGATGTCTTTTCACTGTAAACCACTTTCTCAAGTTAAAAGTGTCCATATACACATGGATAATGATTACTGCAGCTGCGTTTGAAAAGAAAATGTAATATATATATATATATATATATATATATATATATATATATATATATATATATATATATATATATATATATATATAATAATATATATTTAAGTTCTGTTGATAATTGGAAAAATCAAGCAATTCCTTTCCGTTTCAGAAGAAGAAAAAATCACACAGCCTGTGGTTCACCCATTTTCAGTTGCGTATTGAAGTTTTCGAGGAATGCAATAGTTGCTTTTACATTTATGAAATAAGTAATTATATATTCAAGTTACCCAGCCTAGTTTGTAAGGAAAAATAAAATTTTCTTTATGAACATTGAAATGATAATATCACATGTAACTGAATTATAGTTGTCATTGATTGTTGACTTGTAAATCAAATGTTAAACCAACCGCAAAATAAATATTGCTGCGTATACAGGGAAATTTAAGGATTATTGTTATTTCGGATTGCTTTGGAACATTCCATGTACCATTTTATTTTATTATGGAGCAACATATAAAGGAACACCTTTATTTTCTTTTATGAAAGATAACCTGGTTACATGTTAAAGTGATTGAGATAAGCATAAAGATTTTATTTTTGTTTTGGTGATCGAAAAGAACATAAAACTGGTTCACCTTTATTGCCAGCGATTGTTTCCTTACAGAGTACGTGGTTCACCTAAATTGTGTTACTGCAACATCTCATGTTCTGAAATATAACATTTAGTATTTTGACGTGGAACAGAGCCAAAGATTCTTGTTAATTTAGGGGTGAATGTGCTCTGAAGTACAATATAGCCTTGCAGAACTCTGATCTAAGATAGTAAACGTTCATAAAATTTCCAATTTATTACAAGAAATTATATATGGAACATTTATTACCCATTCATCACAGTTTATTGTCTTTTTTTGACTAATAAAGTCAAATAACTACATGTGTTTTCTATTGCCTGTTACGCTACACATGGGTTTCTTATTTACATAGGATGAGCTTAAGAAAATTGAAGACAAAGAAAAGCTCCCAAAAAACAAGAAACAAAGTCTAATGAGAACACTTGTAATCATTTCCTGCCTTTCTTATAATGGTTACAGTGTTAAGTAATCAAATTAAAATACCTTGATCATGACAGTCTAGTAATATTTGAAGAATATATAAATGCCACCAGTAATTAACACTTGTGGTGGAATGGGTAATGAAACAGTTATATTCCTCTTTGTATATAATGTGTTTATTCACTATATACACTAACAATGATCCATAGAGCAATTCAAGCGAGCAAGAGCAACCAGCAATAAAGCTAATATTCATATGTCAATGAAAATATACCTGAGTACTAGTAATATATATAAGAATAGGATTAATATATATCAATACATATATCTAAAGGTTATGAAAGGTTGAACTTCCCACACCTGTGTCTGGTAGATCACAAATTGATTTGTTAGATGTATGAGGCTCAAATAACTTCATGAGTCCCTAGGAGACTGCTGTTCTGCCCAAGTTTTTATACAAAAATCAATTCCTCTGTCTTGATCATACAGAATTGTAAAAACATATATAATGTCTAACAATTTCCTTCTTAACAAAGGCCCCCAAAAAAGCAAAAACAAAATCTGACTCTTTACAGTGCTCAAAAAATTATTCCAAACTAATGATGCCTGGTAAATTTTTACCAGAGTCATTTGTTTATCAGTACACTAGACTACAGCAAGTCAAGTTTGGTATTAGTATGTTTATTGTATACTCTGTCGGTGTTTGTATTTGTGTGGACATTCAGGAAATTATTAAAACACACTGTAGGTCAAGATAACCCTGGGATGTTTTTGATTTATGTTTAACAGCTCTCTACTGCCCATGTGCACAATAACTGGCAAGTGAAAACATTTCACATGGTAGAAACTGGCAACTAGCAGCTCAGCAGTGCAATGTATTGTCCATTCACAATGAGGGAAATTTGACTGTTAGGGCAGTGAACACATTTGCATTGTATATCAACACAGGATTCACATCTGCGCTAAGAAAATGATTTAAAATTTGCTGGAATAATCATTGCAGAAGAGAGAAATTTCCAAATGGGCAATTCTGTGTGTAAAGTAATTATATTTTTTGTTCAGGATATGATTATATGGTAATACTTTAATTAATGTACATGTGTCAGTATGAATTACCATTGCACTTGTACTGTGTGCTGCTCCACATTATTCTTACTCTTACTTCAGCAAGATCTGAAAAAAGTTGCTCAAACTGATCACTCTATCTTCCACATTCAATAAGATCCTAACTGGTTATGGGTCTTAGAACAGTTAGGACACAACCTACAAGAAGAAATGTCCAGCACTGAAGAAATGAGCACAAGAAGAAATGTTCAGTAGTTCCCAGTGAACTGCTCCCATCTGAACTCGAGATTGTTTCTTGTTCTTTCCCCTAAAGCTTGTAAGTCTCAGCTTGCAATTCTTGATGAGGGTCACTGGCTCAGTATCTTCTTTTAAATTTCATATTTTTTTTAGTTTAATCCCCAATCATTCATCAGTCCAACTCCCAAACCAAATAAGTAATACTCCTGCATTAATATAGAATCTTAACACTTTTCACTAGTCAGTGTTTACAATTGCATGCTTCTGTGTAGAAGTCTATTCATTCTGAAGTCTCTAAATGAAAAGATTCTTTGATTCAATCTCTGCATGCAAACATTATCCAATTTCAGACTTACAGAAGGAAAAATCATATCAACTGATTATTCAAAAACTGCTTTACTGACATATGTACTTCATTAAAAACAAACTACTTAAAATGAGAGAAAGTAATGTTCTAGGTGTTATATCATGTATTTTAATGCAAACCATTTATGACTTATTACAATAAGCATTTAATTTAGAAAAAGCAAACATTGCTGTTAATGCCTGTTCCCTTTTCTCTTCTGAACATGTGATGAACTGCTTTTTATCAACAATTATCAGACACATTTTTTGACATGTGAATAACATGCACTTTAGATAAAAAAACAAAGTTCTAAATGTGGGCATTCTTAATCTAAAAGGTTAGTTAAGATATGCAAAAAGCAAGTGGGTGATGATAAAACTTTATTTTCATATATTTTTTTTATTATAATCTTTTAATAAACTTTAAATACATGTCATGTACATCCATAAAAGATTTTTTATTCACTCAATATATGTCACAAAAACTGTGTTATAGAATACCTACAGATTATTTCATCTTCATGCATATTACTTCTTGAAAAAAAATCAGAAAA